TATTTATTTTATTTTGAACTACAGTCAACCCCCCTAAATGCACCCCCATAAATGCACACCCTCTCTAAATGCACACTTTCACTCATTCCCAAGCTTGGGACTTAAGAGATAAGGGCACCCCTCTATACCTGCACTGCATGGTCTTTTTTCATTCCCAACTATATAAAACCACCTCCCTAAATGCATCCCATGACTTTCACATGATTTTATGCATTGTTAATCATGTAACCTTAGAAAATTTTTACAATTACATGTTGTCAAAATTAATTTGGCTTTGACTTAAAATACATGTCAAAACATACTTAAAACATACCTCTATAAGAAAAATAAGTAAAAATAAGTATATATTATATGGAAATTCACATTCAATGTTCTTTTTCAAACAAGGCAACTCTGACAATATTGTTGACTAAATTATTATTTATAAGAGGTTAGATAATCTGTATTAAAAATACATATGATAAATATAAAAAAATAAAAATGTTGATCATGTTAAATGTCATTGTGACATTACACAAAATCCAAAAAACAAAAATAATTCATTAGTATATATTAATTGGTGAAATGTGTACAAAGCAGGGGATTTACATATAAAAATTTGGGACACATTTACTAATTGAAGAAAATAATCGACTGTGTTTGTGAAATAGTTATACAACATACAAAATTTATATTGCACCAAATTTTATGCAAAACAATAGGATAAATGTGAAAAAACATGAAAATCAAAAAAAAATCTTTATTATATATTAGAAAAAAAGAAAGTTATGTACGAAATCACCATTTGAAGGTTTCTGCTTTATATTTTATATATGAAATTAAGTATATCGATCAATTGAATAAATACCCCCCCCCCATTGTTAATAATTAAATAAACACATTTTACCTCATTATGAATTTTTGCATAGTTAACAGGAAAAGTCATTGTGAATTGTTCCATGGTCATCTCTGATGATTAGTGGTCTGGCCACAAATCATTGGTTAGGAACCCCTCCCCCCATTTGATCGTTCTATGCTTGCTTGTAGGGACGCCTCAAGTGGTATAGTTGTAAATATTTCTTGTATATATTCTTTTTATTTTATTATCTTAGGCTAGTGCCAACAGTACTTAGCATTAGTACTGTAGAGTAGGAACTGCGCAGTATAGAATTATATACAACCATTAATTGTTTTTACATAAGAATACACTTTGGGTTTTAACTTTATGTACATTAATTAACTACATCAAATGTTAAAAGGATTTCAAAAGGTAGTTGCCTTAAGAAATTTGTTTTTGGTTCAAACATTTTGTATATATAATTTATTTATATGGTTTATTATTACTAATGCTTTAAATTATGTGCAAAAATATTGATATAACATAAAACAGCATCACCCAAGTAATAATAATACTCAGACTATGCAAAAATAAAGAGAAAAGACATGAGTATTTGCAAAAGAATATTAATAACTTCGGGGTGAGCTTTTTCTAACTCACATACAGTATATATATTTTTATCATTGTCTTAATATTATTGATTCTCTCTTTTTTATAAAAAAAT